GCTACACTGGCATTCTCACTGTAGAACTCCACCACCCATCTTGAGGTCTTTGCTTGGACTGTGCCCCATACTTGAAATGTACTCTCTCCTTTTTTTTTTTTTGCCTCTCAGAATCCCTTATTTCCTTAAAAATGCCACTTAAGGCTATCTTCTATACAAAGGAAACCTCTTCAGCTCCTTAGAATTTACCTAATACATACTGTCTCCCCAAACAGAACATAAGCTGCCTGAAGGCAAAGGCTATTTCATTTTTGTCCTTATATCTCCAGGGTTGAGCATGGTGTTTGGCACACTGGGGGTGTTTAATATATTGGTTGGTTGCCGCCCTTCATGCTCAAAGAGGACCAAAATGACATCACTATGTTGGGGTCAAGATATAGTGTTGTCCAACTGTGACTGATCACATCCATGTTAAAAAGCTTTCACTGGAGGCCTTCAGGAGAGTGTGTATTGTCCTAGAAACTGGATTTGACTCCTGGTTCTGCAACTCACTAGCTGTATACTCTTGGACAAGTCCCTTAATTTCCTGAGCCTCAGTTTTCTCATCTGTAAAATGGGAATAAAAACATTTGTACTACATCCCTCACAGTACTGTTGTGAGAATTAAATGAAAAAAACATACTGGTGTTTTGAAATCATAAATACCTACATACAAATATAAAGAGCCCTGCTCAGCATATATTTCAGTTACGATCTTTCCCAGAGCAGCCCAAACTTGAAAGCACCTCGTCTCCAAAAAGAAGAGAGAATGATCTACCTACTGTCATAGGAAAGGGGTCAGTGATCAACTTATATTCCTAGACCACCAGCAGGGCTAAAATGTCTTTGTGAGCCCTAGACCCAGTAAAGATAATCCTTCCCCACGACAGGAAACAGATGCTTTTTTTTCCCTAAAAACTCTGACCTTTACCATAGCTCTGAGACTGTCTCAGCTCCCCAGAGTTCCAGACCTTATTGATCCCAATCTTGCTAATCATTCTTTATTTCATCTAGCTTCCCTCCTTCATCTTGGGACGCTCCAATGAGTTAATGTATGTGAAAGTACTTTACAAACAGAAGCACTGGGATTATTAATATTGCCACAAGATGAAATTCACTGAACCAGTAGTGAGGCATTCCTCTGTGCAAAGCACTCTCCTAGGCACTAAACAGACTTCATCAATGTTTAAAGTAGGACTCTTGCCTTCAAGGAGCTTACAATCTTAGGGAGATAAGGCATAAGATAAAAGCCTATCAAAAATTCAACAACTTTAGAATCAAACAATTCAAGAAACGTCACAAGTCCACTGAATATTATGTGACTGGCTCTTAGATATATCTTGGCAGTACCAAAGAATCCCTTGGGGAAGTCTGGCCAACATCCAGTGATTGATTCCTTGTCACTGGCTGCCTCGCAAACATGGAGGCCAAGAGAAGTGATTTTCCTTCTGGTCTCCAGTTAGCAAGGTCAGCCTTGGCTCTCCTCAGTCCTTTCTGTCACAACTGCCCTTTCTGAAATGAGACCACTGCATGTCTCATGGTGTTCCGGTGCCAGCCTCTGGCCAGGCTGGGGTGAGGAGAGCAGGTGGCTGTGTTTCTGGATTCCTGTGGGGGCACAGCTTGGCCTGGCTCCATCTCATTAGCGCTTCCCAGAACTTGGTTTGTTGAGATCCCTTGGCTGTCATCCTGTCATATCAGAGGAGCCTGGGGAATTTGGACTCTAGCAAAAACAGGATTTTTTCTTTTAATGATCCATTTTAGCCCTTTCTGAAAGCAGGCATCTTTGTTCATCTGACTGAAGTGAAAGATGACAGCATTCCTACAGACGACCGAGAACACTGTGACTGGTTTCTTAAGATTTTTTCAAATGTAAGGAGGCCTGAAAAAAGCTATTTGGGACGAAGCTGACAAGGAACATGGGGTGAATTTGGTTTTTGCCCTTTTCTTCCTCTCCCAGAATGCCAGTTAAGAGCTGCCTACATTCAGACTCACCAAATCATTAAGAGTGGGTGAGTAGGCGGATTCACTGTTTGCAACTCCAAGCAAGAAGCTTAGGGAAATCCTACCACAAGTTTCATCAACCTGGGAACTTTTTCTGTACTTTTCAAGTTAGGGGAGTAGAGCCTGCTATAGAATCAAGAGATTATTCATTAATATTAATATTAATTATTGAGACTAATATTAACATTAATCAATATCAGTCATATTTTCAATTCAAAGAACCACAGAATGTCAGAAATCATCTAGTCCAATTGCCTTAGTTCAGGGGTGGGGAACCTGCAGCCTTAAGGCCACATGTGGCCTTCTAAATCCTTAAGCACAGCCTTTTGGCTGAATCCAAATTTTACAGAACAAATCCTAAAGGATTTAAAAGGCCACATGTGGCCTTAAGGCTGCAGGTTCCCCACCCCTGCCTTAGTTTATAGATGAGAAAAATGACAGTCCCATGGAGAAAAAGTGATTTTCCCAAAGTCACCGTGCAAGACAAAAGCCTAACCAGGACTAGAATCCAGTGTCCTCTCTTTAAGGCCAGCGTTCTTTCTATCTTGAGATGAGAGTTCAGTCATTAAAAGATTTCAGAATGGTTCCTGGCACAGTAGCATACAGTTTGTTGAAAAGAATTCATCAAATTCAGCTGAAGTGAAGGAGGCAGTAGGTCTTGAGGCAAGCTTCTCAACTATTTTCCGCATCTACCATCTCCTTTCAAGAGGGGGAAACACTCAAGAACTTACCAATTATCTATGTGTGTGATTGTGGTTTACTAGGTGACACAATGTCCCTGTACATAGCACATGCTTAATGGATCTTTGTTGAACCAAACTGTGTCTAACAGCTTCAAGCTGGTACTCCTCCATCCACCCAGGAAAAAAGTCCTCTAGTTCAGAATTCCCCAAGGAATTTCCTATTTCTCTCTAGGAGTCAGCCCTAGTCTGAACAGCATCTGAGTATTATTGGAGTATATTAAGATGACAATGGAGACCATAAATTCAGTCAAGGGACAAATCTGGGATCTATGGAAGAGAAGGTTGGGACAAAATGGAACAGAGAAAGAAAAGGAAGAGAATGAGAGAGGAAAATAAGAATAAGAAGAGAAACCCTTAAATGAGAACAATATTTTCAACCCATATATCTGATAAAAGTATGACATCCAAGATATAAGGAAGGGATATAAATGTATAAGAACAAGAGCCATTTCTCAACAGGGAAAGGATGGGAACAGATAATCCATTTTCAAAAGAAGAGATGTAAACTATCAAAAACCAGATGAAAGAATGCTCCAAAAACTAATTATAAGGAGAAATTCAAATTAAAGCAACTCTGAGGGTGTGCTGCTCATATTCAGCAGAGTGGCAAAGATGAAAATATTAAATGTTGGAGAGACTATGGGAATAGAGGCACACTAATACACTTTTGGTGAACTTATGAATTGGATCAACCATTTAGGAAAGCTAATTGACATTTATCTTAAAAAGTAAAAAAACTATACAAACTCTTTGTCCCTAAAGAGGTCAATAAGGGAAAGTCCCATATTTAGAAAAAATATTTATATCAACCCTTTTTGGATTAACAAAGAACTGGAAGGTTAGGAGATTGCCCACCAATTGGGGAATGACTGAACAAGCTGTGGCATATGAATGTAACAGAATATTGCTGTGCTGTAAGAAATGACAAACACGAAGGATTCAGAGAAACTTGGAAAGATTTGAATGAACTGATACAGAGCAAAGTAAGCAGAACCAAGAGAGCAAGACTTCAGAACTCTGATCACTGCATTGATTTCAGAGGACTGATCATTAAGCAGATAGTTTATCTTTTGATGAAGAGGTGGAATACAATAAGTGTGAAATGAGGCACACGTTTTCAGACCTGGTCGATGTGTTGATTTTTCTTCTTTGACTATAATTATTATTTGTTATTAAGGGAGAGTTGGAGAGGGAGGGAGCATTTCAAAGTGACAGGTGTCAAAAAGACCAACAAACATTAGTTAAAAAGAAAATAAGAGAAGCCAAGGGATGGAAGAAGAAGGGCCTGAGGGAATACAGAGAGAATGATGACAAAACAAAACAAAAATGAAAAAAGGTTAAGAGTGATTTGAGCAATACTTAAGACTAGGGTAGAAAAAGCAATAGTGCTTCGAATATTTGCTATTTCACCAAATCTTTTGGGTAAGAATAATCTTAGAGCCTTTTGCCAGGGGTTTTCCACCTCTGAGGGCGACACAAAAGAGGGATTTACAATTGACTTTTAGTTAGGTACAAAAGGCAGAAACAGAGAGACACCTCCTTCTTTTGCAGGGGTTTGATTCACATGAAAATCATCCCATTAGCCCTGAAGAACCGAGAATGAAGATTTAACTCATGTAGCAATGGCCTCTCCTAGTGGCTTTATGATGAAAACAGCAGCCAGCTAAGAAAACCTCCGTAGTAGAGAGTTTCTATGGCTCGATCGATGGAATGTGGGCTTTTTAAAATACAATCAATAGGCTTCCTATCGCCTACCATCCGGGCACCAAACAAAAGTCGAGTGTCACTCCCATGGTAAATGGAGGGGCACACTGAGAGTATTCACATAAAACACGTCAATATGAAGAGCCAGCTGTCTTCAAGGACAGGTAGGGCGGAGAAAAGATGGGCTGGTCACGTGCAAGAGGGAAAGGTAACTGATGGATGGTCCAGGCGTTCCCCTGGCAACCAGGGGCATCCAACAAAGGGAAGAAGGTCCATAGCGTTTTGGGTGACCTCCGTGGCATGGAAGGGCTGCGCAGGGCTGCAGACAGGAGTAGACTGTGACCATGCGGTTGGCACAGCCACGGAGAACACCATACAACAACGGAGAACACGATACAACCACGCACCTGCTCCTGACCACAGAAGAGAGAGGCAGGAGAGGCTGGGGCCCCGAGGGGCCTGCGCGGGGTCCTCCTGGTGCATAGGGGGCGCTGCGGCGCAGGAGCAGCGCTTCCGGGGCGGTGCCTCCTGCGGAGCTCCCGGGGCGGGCTTTAGCGTTACCTTCAGCTGACCGGCAGAGGAGGTTCTGTGTGCCCGCGTCCGCCAGCCCTCTCACCAGCAGTCGCTCAGCTCTCCCTCTCTCTGCTCGCCATGGCGCTGCTGCACTCCTGCCGCATGCTCTGCGGAGCCACCTCCTTCCACCCGGGCCTCGGCGCGGCCGCCGCCGCCAGAGCCAGGTAAGGAGCTGAGGAGCGCGAGGACGCGGACGAGCCCCGTGCACGAGGAATTTTGTCCTTCTGCGGTTGCCGGACGCCATGATGAAGTCGGGTCCGGGGAGCCGGGACACGAGGCCCGCGAGGCTGTGCGCCCGCGGCTCGCCGATTGGCTCCGGCGGGCCAAGGGGGCGGGACTCGCGGCGGGGGCGCGCGTGCCCTTGAGCTCGGTGGAGGGCAGCGGGGCGCGCCCCCAGGGCCGGGCACCCTGGGGAGCCCCCGGCAACCCCGGGACCGGCCGGAGAGGGGACGGGGGTGGGAGAGAGCGGAAAGGGGCCAGACCCTCGGGCAGGGGGAGTGGCGCCCCGGGGTCCCTGGTAACTATTTCCTTTGAAGCCCTCTGTCTTTAAACTGAGGAGGGGTCTGGAGGCCTCTGCAGCCGCCCAGCCCCCAGCCTGCTCCCCTCCTCCCCCCCTCCCCGTCCCGGATTACTGAACTTAATCCTCCCCACGGAGGAACGTGCTTCCTAATCCTCCGAAGAAGTGCTCCAGTTTAGGCTCCCGAGCCGGAGGGAACCGAGCCCAGGCGGCGTGCCTGGCCGCGGGACCCTCCCTGCTGTGATGCCCGCGGGGTCACTTGGGGTTCCGGGGGCTCCTGCCACCCCAGACCCTCTCCAGGAGCCCCGGAGAACGAAACGCCTCTCATGATGATGCTAACACGTTTCCATTCCTAATCCGGTGAATAGCAAAGGGAGGTCTTGAGTTTTTTAGGAGCATAAAGGGAGACCAAAAAGTTAGAGAACTGCCCCTTGGATGGATGGATGAAAGCAGCAGACTCGCTTCCTTCTCTTCCCGGATGAGGGTGTTAAAGGAAAAAAAAGCCTTGGACCCTCAGGACATGCTTAGGTAGTCTTCCGGACCCGGAGCTGTAGGGGAGCGGGGAGATCGTCTGTTACAGAGGTGCTTTTTGTGTGGCAAAGCCTATGCACTCCTCAGAATGATGTTTTTTAAATACATTAGATTAAAATATGTAAGTTAAGTTACATAGATTTACAGAGGAAGCCGGAACACCAAAATATTTTTTATAAAGAAATGAATTCTCTGACCCCAGACTGAGAACCCTTGATCTCATAATCCAACCCAGTCAATGAATTCCACAAGCCAAATCCAGAGGTCTACCCCAACTTTCCCCCCACAGAACACAGACACATTTCCTTTTCCCTGATACTTGTTTCTCTTAACCAATAGTCGAGGCCTATTTCTTAGTGTACTTTCCCAGTGCATATAAAAATTGTGTGCATGCTATACTGTAGTGGCTACAGTGTAGCCTGTTAAATGTGCAGTAGTATTATGTCTTTTAAAAATGTACATATCTTAATTCAAAAACTCTTTATTGTTAAAAAAAAAAATGCCAACCATCATCTGAGCCTTCAACAAGTTCTGATCTTCCTGCTGGTCAAGGGTCTTTCCTCTGTATTGATGGCTGCTGACTGATCAGGGTGGTGGTCTCTGAAGGCTGAGGTGGCTGTGGCAGTTTCTTAAAATAAGATAACAACGAAGTTTGCCTCATCAGCTGACTCTTCCTTTTATTTGAACACTTAGAGGCCATTATAGGGTTATTAATTGGTCTAATTTGAAATTGTCTGGTGTTATAGTCAGCACACACATTTATGGATTCATGGCTCCCCAAAACAATTAAGATAGTGACATCAAAGATCAATGATAGATCGCCATAGCAGATATAATAATGGTGAAAAGGTTTGAAATATTGCAAGAATTAACAAAACATGACACAAAGATACAATGTGAGCACGTGCTGTTGGAAAAATAGCATCAGTAGACTTGCTGAAGGCAGGGTTGCCACAGACCTTCAATTTGTAAAACAGAAAACCACAGTATTGGAAGCGCAATAAAAAGAGGTATGCCCAGAGACTGGGAAAGTGCTGTTCCAAAGCAAATTTGAGAAAGGAATGGTTAATATGAGATGTACTAGAAGAGAAAAAATTTGAGATTTCACAGTAATAAAATGCTAAGTAACTTCTTTAGATACCAGCTGTGTGAGCAAAAGCAGGAATTACTGACACCCTGTAAAGGCTGAGCATTTTCTGCAAGGCACTAAAGTCACGCTTAATTTATTCTTACAAAATAGGGAAAACAAAGTTGGTAAAGGATTGGAGGGCGGTAAGGTATTTTTCATCAAACTTTTTAAAATCTAAATTGCTTTTATTGGTGCTATACTAATTAATGTGTTCCAGTGGCCAAGTTATTTGTATTTGAAAAGAGAAATGGTTCCTTTTGACTAGGTGTAATTTTTTTCCTTAAAGCTAACAAATTCATCTTTCTTTTCTGATAATCAAGATAGAATAGAATCCTGGAGGAACCGAGTATGACAGATGAGGAAACTGGAGCCCACAGGGGCTAACTGACTTGCCTGTATGGTCTTCTCATTTTCAACTAATTTTTTTGGGGGGGGGGGCTAGGCAATGAGGTGAAGTGGCTCACTCAGGGTCACACAGCTAGTAAGTGTCAAGTATCTGGGGTAGGATTTGAACTCAGGTCCTCCTGACTCTAGGGCCACTGCTCTATCCACTGTCCCACCTAGCTGCCCCCCATTTTCAACTATTTCTTCTGAAGCATACCATGAAATCCACTGTAGAGAAATAAAAGCTAGACTTTGTACTTAGAGCAGAATTAAGGACATTGAAGTTCACAGGGTGAATCAGGATGTGGAGACTAGGGCTTTTTCAGAAACAACTCTCTGCAGAAAGTAAAATAAAATGGGGGGGGATAATATGTTGGAGGGGAAGAGTACAGAGCTATAAGTTCATGACTTGGGGAGGGGGTTCACATTCTAAAATATAAGCTCATAGTAACAATCTGCTCAGATCAGATATAGTGCCATTTACTCAAAATTTCACTCAGTTGACACAGGTGATCTTCAGCCCACAGCATCTAATGGAGAATGTTGTCTACAATAGCTCCAGAAGTAGGGTTGTTTGACGCCCATAAAGTTAGAAGTTTGAATGAAGCCCTTCTCTTAGCTTCACTTGGGCTGTCAAGTACTCTAAAAACCAAATGCAAATCCTTGATTGTGAGTGCACAATGTATTAACGTTCAACATTCTTGATCTTAGGTAAGATGTGCCTCTACATCTCTGCGATTATTTAACAGTCTTTCCTACCCATCTGCTCAAATACAGTGTGGTCTTGACTCACTTAGGGAACAGCCCCAAGGGAATAAAGAAAAAAGGAAAAAGAAAGGGAACATTTAAGTGTCGACCCACTACTTGCCAGGTGCTGTACAAATATTTGATCCTCACAACAACTCTAGGAGGAGGTTGCTGTTTTTATTCCCGTTTTGCAGTTGAGGACCTGAGGCAGACAGCAGTTAAGTGACTTGTCCAGGGTCACACAATCAGTGTTTGAGGCTGGATTTGAACTCAGGTCTTCCTGACTCCAGGGCTAGCATGTTACTCATTGCATCACCTAGCTGCTGAGTTTTCCAAGTGTTTGAATTTTTACTGCCTTGAAACAGTAAAACCTTTTTATTTTGAACTTTTAAGATAAACATCTTTCTGAAATGGATTACATACTTTCATAGCATGTTTCTTTAAAAGCGTATAATTTAATCTTTAATGCTTCAGAATTATCATTGTGCACATGAGTTACTTTTAATAGGCAATGTCAGCATAAAACTTCACTGTAGCTGGAGCTCAGGAAACCTGAGTTTTAATGTGCTGTATATAGTACAGTGATGCCATTAGGGGCTTATCAAGGTCAATAAGGGCTGTTCACCCTTTTCCTGAATGGTCCTAGACTATTGTACTTTTTGACTCAGCTTGGTCGCTTATTTGTCCCGCACAGCTGTCTTCCCTCATTTCTCCTTGCTGTCCCTGTATCTTCCTCTAGTATCCTTCCCCCTCTGAAATCTCATTTGCTGAAGCCCGTTTTGGTTTACTTTTTTGGTTCTTGGCTATGATCTTGAGAGGTGAGGTGATATACCTTTCCATGTGCTGTGATAGGAAAGCTTTATTATGTACTTTTCTAAGCCTTTTCCCTTTCCACACAGTTTTGACACGTAGTTCTGTCTTATAAATTAACAATTGGATTTTTGCTAAGTAACTATAACCTCTAGAAATTTCAATATTTGGATTGTTAAACACAAAATTGAAGGAAAAAATGATAGAAAACAAAACAAAAAACTCCTTTTACCTAATTGCTTTTTTGGGATATTCCATGTTACACAGTATTTGTCCATGACACATGTGTGATCTAGGTTTGTATTTTCACATAATATTAAAGGACATGAATGAAGTTTTAAATAGTAACCTACTTAAAGCTATCTTAATTTAAAAGAGCATTTTACTTCATTCAAGAACCTAAAATAATTTGATTGTGTGTGGAATTTTTTCCTTTCAACGAAAGGAAAAGGAGGCAGAGGCCAGAAACAGATGTGCTTACCAGCATGCAACTAATTATGTGAAGGCCGCCCACCTGCTCTTTTCTGGATTTAAATTGCTTAGAAACCAAAATCTTAGAATTGTTTTTCTCTGTTAAGCTACAGAGTTTTGCCTCTTTTTAAACCTTTCTTTAACTTGTGAAGAAATGTATCTTGAGTTATTTCAGAAGAATGGTATCATCTAAAGAAACAGACCCAGAAGGGTTGAGTGATTGGCCTTTGCCCACAGCAAATAACTGTCAGTCCTGGTGGACCAGGTCTTTCTTCCAACGGTACATCATACCATTCAACTTCTCAATAACAGATAGTTACCATAGTTGAGTGTGATAAAAGAACTCACTCTCCTTTTTCAAAATAAAATCTGATAATAAATAAGTTTTAACTTTGATATTAAAATGACTTTAATGTCCTTCCTCAGCTAGGTGACAATGAAATAAATAGGATAGGAACGAGAGCTGTGTGTGACTTGTTTTAGTCTCATCATTTCAAGTCTATCTGAAATCTATGAGTTGAAAAAAAAATGAAAACTTTCTTTAGCCTCATTTTAGGTAGCTGTTCTTAGTACCT